GGAAGGAAGGAAGGAAGGAAGGAAGGAAGGAAGGAAGGAAGGAGCCTTCATTACACGGTCTGAGAGGGACGCCAGGTGACCTGGCCGCACAGCATGAGGAGAGGATAGAAATGGCATGCAGGCATTTTTTGGGGGTGAGGGTTTCTTCTTATAGGGGTCCTGGGGAGGACTAAGATAGTGTTTCCTGGTTTGAGCTATTTTGATCAGGCTCAGACCGTTATCAGGATCACTTGTCTGGTCTGGTCTTTGATGTGATGAGCTTAGATGTTATCAGTTTTCTCGGGAAGTGATCAAGCTTGGGGCCCTGGGAAGTCGGGGAGCAACTGCCGTATTCTTCCTCCAGTTGTCCCTCCCTGGTCTGGGGTCTCTCACCCCTGTTTGGTTTGCACGTATGCCCAGGCCCGGCATGTCTGTCTGAGCCCATCAGTTCCCTAGTATCCTCTCGGGGACAGAGCTGCAGAGCCTAAGCCTGTGCTCCAAGGTCTTTGTCAGGATGTGGCTTCCGGAACACGGCCCGTAAGCCCCCCCCTCGTGCAGGGTGAAGTGAGCGCCGCCGGGAGGGGCAGCCCCTGACCGCCAGCAGCCAGGAGTGACCTCAGGAGCCCGATGGCCGCTTGGTGAATCTGCAGTCAGTCCCACGGTCCGTGAGCTGGTGGAGACGGGGCGTGAGGACCTGTTCTGAGCAGCCTGTGCCGTGGTGTCTTCCAGATGTGGAACAACAGCAAATCACCCATCAGATACACGTGGGAGAAGATCAGTGACTGCCACATCGTTGAAGTGGAGCCCTGTGCCGGGGTCATAGGTGCCGCGGGAACCTGCGTGGTTGTGGCCTGCCCGGGTCTGGCTGAGGAGGCAGCTTTAGAGTTAAAGGGCCCGTGCAGAGCGCGTGTGTCCCTGTGGCCAGCCCTTGGGAAGCATGACGCGTGCAGTGACAAAGAGCCTGACCCCTGGAGGACCCTGCCCCCATTTCTTTTTTCCACCTCCCATTTCTCTTCTCTCTTCTAGAGCCCAACGAGGTTGGAGACTTTGAGGTGAGCTTTACTGGGGGTGCTCCCGGTGCAGCCAGCCAGGATTTGCTGTGTGAAATCCAGGACTCGCCCTCGCCTGTGGTGCTGCACATTGAGGCAGCCTTTAAGGTGCCTTTGTGGGGGAGGCTGGGCAGTCGGCCGGGCCCAGCAAGCTGGCGGGGATGGCAGAGCCCGTGTCCTGGTGGCTCAGTGACAGGCCCTGCACGTGTCTCAGGGACCCGCAGTCGTCATCAACGTCTCAGCCCTTCAGTTGGGTTTGCTGCGCCTGGGACAGAAAGTCACACAGTCCATCCAGATCCAGAATGTCAGCCAGCTGCCGGCCACGTGGCGCATGCAGGAGAGCAGGGTCTGCCTGGAGGAAAGACTCGAGAGTGTAAGGCCGCTCAGCACCTCCTACAGCTCCCCGCTGCACCCCTCAACTCCAGCGCCTCCTACAGCTTCCCACTGCACCCTCAACTCCAACACCTCCTACAGCTCTCTGCTGCACCCCTCAACTCCATCTCCTACAGCTCCCCGCTGCA